GATTATAGTGATTTCGTTTGTTAAGTAGTAGCCTTATTACAGTGTTGTAGTGTATTTTTTTTACTTTCTACTCGATGTTGTAGTGTTTTTGTTGCATAGTAGTGGTTGTAACAATCTCCTTTATGGACAATAATAAGATTATGTTGGCCATTTTTCCATGTAAAATCACTACCATCATAAAACACTGCTATTCTCATGAGTAACAATCTCTCTGAAATTGCTACTACAAGCCATCAACTAAGAAATGAAATGACTGACATAAACAACGACCATTGCAAAACACTACCATTGGTTGTAAAATGTGAACACTACTACTGTCATAAAACACTACTACCTAGAACAGTAACTATTCCTATAAAACAAAAACAATAACTACTAAAACTTATAGTCAAAAGCAGTAAATACTATTGTTACATATCTATCAATCATAGGGAGAGACGTAGAGAGAGATGGAGTAAATTGAATCTTTTCAAAGAAATTGAAATTCCCCAAAATAATAATTGTCCCTACTAAAAGCCCATTAAATCTGCTTTTCCATATTTCCATAAATCATCACTAATTTTGCCATATTTATTTTTTCTGTTATTTTCCAATTATACCCCAGTTAGTATGATGCTAACCTACTATAGAGTTAGCACCCTATCTTCTCCCGTTTATTACAGGTGATTTGTTCTTACTCTTATTATTATTTTTTGTTCGTCTCTTCAAAATAATGGTGAAAAGACTCAGGCACCCTTCCTTACTCTGCGCATAGGGCAGGAAAAGGGGAATGAAGTGTGGTGCTAGCCAGAACCTCCATATATTGATTGGAGGAGGAGGAGGATGAAAAGATAACATCCTTAACTTCCTACTAGTCACAGACCCGACCAGTTGGCTGGATGCATTTCGTCAATTTCATAAACAACAGTCGTAATTAATATGCGAGATACGTGTTTATCATAGGCCTTACACACTAATTAGTGTTCGCCCGAGGTTGTTAGTTCGAGTTGCCCAACAAAGAAAAATTCTCTCTTTGGTAATATTTAGGGTTATATATAAGCATAATGTGTTCCTTTACAATGTTTTATCAAACATGCCCCTCTAATATTCTTACATACAAGCATGTCCCTATACTCTGTAAAAATGATCAAATACATTTAAAAGAGGCATGCTTGATAATTTTTTGGTTCAACCGTGGTTGACCATTTTTTAATGAAAATTTTAATATAGGGCATGTTTGATAATTTTTCAAAGTATAGGGGCATGTTTGATGTAAGAAATAGTAGAGAGACATGTTTGATAAAACTGCATAGTAGAGAAGCATATTATACCTATAACTCTAATATTTATCTACCTCGGGTCTAAATTTGGTTAAGCTTTCTTAATTGTTTAATCAAAGACAATTGTGAATCTGTTTTAGCCAAATTGTTAAAGTACATAATCCTTCACTACATTTTTTTTCATATTTGTCAAACTTACTCAACTCTAAACTAACAAACTCCCCAAGTATCCTTAACCACCAGCTAGGCTTATTCCTTATTCCAATATTTTTAGACATTGATAAAGGCCATTCTAGATCATTTGCTGACTTCTCTCAACCAAGACACTTAACTCTTGGCCATTCTCCTCGAACCTTTGCTTATACACAACACAAAAGGTGAATAAAGCTAACAAAAAACTTAATAAGTCTCCAACATTCTTCACCTTATGTGATGTAACGACATCTAATAATGCATAAATCTCATTTATAAAAACGCAAGTTGCTGAAGATTTTTCTTGGTTTTGATGTTGTTTTCCATTACCACCTGATTAAAATGTCAAAGTCAGAACAGATTCTGTCTTTAGCTTTGTTGATATATTTGAACAAATACTTGATAGCCCTAAACAACATAGTAAATTAATCATGACTTAGAAACATTCAAAAAATGTAATAAAAATGTACAAAAATCTTAAATCATGAAGCGTTATAAACGGACTCTTGAAATTTGGTTTCAGCATTTGGTGATAATTCTATTTGCTTGGCCTAGCGAGTTACTTCTCTAAAATAAAAATACGAAGAAAAATAATATTACACTTGACCTAAATCACAAATAAAATATACCTCGACCTAAAGGCACACGCCTCACGCTCCCATAATTTCACAAATAAATCATTGTAATAGTTGGTTATGTATTTTCCCTTCGTTCATTTTGAACGATCTGTACTTGGATAATGCCATTTGGCCTAATCAATAAACTACAGGCGGCGCTGTCCCTCCTTTCCCTCAAAACAATTTCATAAAACCACTATCCCTATATAAACTATAATAATATAGTAATAAAAATATTAATAATAAAGTTGCCTTAATCATAGCCCATAGAAAATATGGTTAAGTATTCAGCTTTGGGATACCTCTTGCAACAAAAAAAATTAAGAGTACCGATGGTCAAAAAGAGAAATCCGATAACAATAATACAAAAAACAGTCCAATTTTAACGAGGTTTACTCAACAATGGTCACTTCCTCGTCCCGACAACAGTCCACACCACTGTCGAGAGACACCATTGATTTTCTGATGTAGTAAACTCAATACAAAGGAAATTGAAAGATAAAAACATGAACAATCAGCCAGAGTTTTCACTCAAACTCTGCACCTTTCAGCCACTCTCTCAGAATCCCTTTTACTAAAAAACAAAGCCCTTTACCACTCTTGTCTCGGATGTAAAAGTTGCTTTTCTGCAAAAGAAGAGTCGACAATATATAGCCACCTCTCCTAGCCGTTGAGAAGAAGTATCCGTTGCTGCAGAATTGATTTAGTTTCCCAGAATATAATTCCTTCCTTATCTGGCCAATTGCTGGCTCTGATCTCGCCCAACACGACTCTAGGGGTGAAAGCTTGTCCGGAAGACCCACTGACCCGTCCCGACCCGTCCCGTCCCATGGATCGGGACGGGTCAGTTTGTCTACAGGGACAGATTAGGGACGAGTCATTTGTTGACCTTGTAAGGGTCGGGACGGGTCGGGACAACTTAGGGACGGGTCACGTTTTGACCCGGTGACCCTTAGCAACAACAAATATCTCATACTTCATTGGACATTTTTGTAAATTTTTAAAAGTTTAGGTACTAATTTGTAAAAATATAAAAATTTGGGTACCAAAACGTAATTTTACCATCAAAATTTATGGACTTATTTGTAAAAAAAATAATTCTTAGGTACTAAATTGTAAGAAAAAATAACTTTGGGTACCAAAACGTAATTTGTAAAAAAAGTAGTGTGTTGAATTGGGTCGACCCACTGACCCGGCTCGTCCCGTCCCAACCTTTGAGGGTCAGACAGGGTCAATAAGGAGAACGAAACGGGACGGAACGGTTATACATCTTGACCCTTTAGGAACGGGTCAGACAGGGACAGGGACGGGACAGAAAAATTTTCAGCCTACAGACGACTCTTGTAGTTGAAAAAATGCAACCCGACAAGTACAAACCCAAGTTCTAACCGAGTAGTGGCCACGCCATGACACCATGATCGGCCACTTTGACAACCTAATTAGGTCAACGTATCACAAAAATACTATCAGTAGCCGCGTCGGGATTTTAGTTGAGGTGGATTCGAATTGAAAAACAAAAATGCAAGATATTGTTGTTTAAATTTTTAGAATGATCCCGACAATTTCATAGTCTATCTCGTATACGTTATATAATATATGTTTATACAAAAACTTCTGTGATGCATCATAATCCTTCTTGCAAATGGTTAGAAACGAGTTAAAAGAATATATGTTTATGCAAGTATCCTTTTTGTCTGTTATAATCAACAGAGTCCAAAAGCCAAAACATGGTTGCTAATAAGGGAGTGAAGTCAACTCTATATACGACATCCACAATGTGTATGCTATAACGACTAGGAGGTTTCTGTCTCTTTATTTCCATACCCTTCGAAAGACTTGAAAGAAATACAAGAGTACTCTAAGAGCCGTACGTAACGCAACTAAACGGGTGGAAGTGCAAAACGAGAGGATAAGTCGTGGCGGTAAAGAAGTGGTTAAATATTATATATGAGATTTTTTTAATAACTCGAATTATAGAAAATTTGGGTTTTGACATGGTATCAGAGTCTTCTGCAATTGAGAGCTCTTTTGTTCGAATCCCTGTTACCCATATTGGTAAACATAGGGCGTCTGATGGATGTGCAAACTTCAACCCTATATGAGTGACTTTCGTTTGATGTGTGTATTAGTATGTGGTTTAATATCCATTACTGGATCTTTTCCAACAATTCGAGTTATCGAGATCATTTGGTTTATGAGATGATATAAGAGGTTGGGTTGTCCTTGAGGTAACGTGTTCAAGTCCTCAAGAGTCCCAATATTAGCCATTTTCTTTAAACAACATACATGGTATGACGGGTATGTGCAAACTTCAAGCCTATGAGTTGGCTTTCGTTTGAAAGATGTGTGTAAGGAAGTGGTTAATTAAGTACCATACACGAACATCTCCCAACAACTCGAGTTATTGAGACCAGTTGATTTATGACGTGATATCAGAGTGCTGGTTCGGTATTCAGATCTCGCGTGCTCAAGTCCTCACGACTCCTAATAATAACCGTTATCTTTCAAACACATGACATGACGAGGCTGTGCAAACTTCAAGTCCATGAATTAATTAATTTCATCTGATGAGACGTGTAAGAAAAATGAATCGCCCCAACAACTCGAGTTATTACATTCACCACAAACACAAGATTATGGTCTGCCTGTCGGGCGGTTAATTCAAGACATAAATTAAGCGGGAGATCCATCGAGGCAATTCATCATCATCCCATCACGGCATCACCTTCCGTATTTAAGAAGAACCAAACCCTTCTCTTCTCATCTCATCTCATTTCATCTCATCTCATCTCATCTCAGCCTTAATCACAAAAGCAACTAAGCCCTAACTACAATGATCCATCAAAGATTACTAGCCACCACCGCAGTAGTACTTTTAGCGACGACCACAGCTGCCCGCGGGAGCCAGGAAGTGACCATCACCATCGCCAACATGGTACGTCCGGAGGCGCGCACAGTAACGGTGCACTGCCAATCCAAAGACGATGACCTCGGCTTCCACGATCTCGGCGTCTTCCACGAGTACAGTTGGAGCTTTCATCCCAACGCCTTGGGCGGGACGCTGTTCTGGTGCCGCCTTTATATTGCGGAAACCGATCAGTGTCTTGTCTTCGACGCATACCGTCAGAACCAACACAGCGGCAACCACGTTTTGCGGTGGGAGGTCGAGGGTGCCGATGGGGTTACGGGCAAAACCGAGAACGGGGTTCCGGTGCGCGACGTGGCCTATTGGCACCCGTGTTGATCGATCCGTCGATCGAGATTTTGTGACGAAGTTAGGAATTTCGAATGCGCGAGAGGACTAGTGATTTGAAACTTTGATAATAAAGGTCTTACCGACTACTCTATTTCAAATTTGAGTGAGGTCGATGCGCTATAGCCCTTATTCATGACTTTAATCTAGCTTCTCCACTGCATCGATCCGCTCTATATTACCTACTCTCTTCCAGATGAGAAAGTATTATCTTTGGTTTTCTTTCTCCTTGTTTCCTCTTTGGTTATCAAATAAAGGGCTACCATGGAAAGAAGGCTACAAAGATTACTTTTGAGCTAGTTTTGTTAAAGTTTAGTCAGTTTGGTTAATTGGTTATCAAGATAACCAATATAAAATAATATTGTCATCACGTAAGGTACAAAAAACATCTCCATTTAATGCATTAATTCATAATTTATATAATGAATAAAATATAACAACCAACACATAGATAACTGGTTGTACCATCTAGCTCGAGGTATGACCAATGATATTTGTTGGTGTGGGGTTGAATCACGATTCGTTCGTCTGATCTCGTCGGGAGGTAAGAAACATGTGAAAGAGTCGGGGATGCCCCCCGGATTAATTAAGCTCCGACGATCAAGTTAGTTCATGTTTAAGGCGAAAGTTGAGAGAACAAGGTAGAGAGATAAAGTGTAGAGAGATAGTGGAAAGTGAAAAGTGAGGAGAGAAAAGAAGCCCTCCTCAATGGAGAGTTTCATGCCTTTATATACTCGTAGCGGCGTTCCAGCGGAGCACGTTACCGATTGAGTGCATCCTTACTTAGTCCGAGCGTGGAGTATTTAGTAACACCCCCAACAATTGCCCCCCAAGCTGGTGGTGAGTTTTAACTCATCGTTAGCTTATTATTATTTATTTATTTTTTAAATCTTAATTTGCCGATAATTTTGGATGAAGCACTATGTACCCTTAGTTGCCCCCCAGCTGGTGGCGCATTTGGCTGACGCGGTGCCAGCTTCTTGCATCCTGCCCCCTAGTTGGCGTATTTCATTAAGGCGTTGAGCGCTCGTCTATTGGAATCTCCAAGGCGTTGAGCAATTGCTTGTTGAAAATTTTCCAAGGTATTGAGCACTCTCCTATTGGAGTTCTTCACACACACACAAGTGTGTACTCTTTTATTGGTGCGCTTGTGATAGCTGCACGATTACTTTACGGGGTTACCGCGCACGTTTAGTGCCCTTTATTGGAGATAGAGGTAGTTGAACACTCTCATGTTGTAGATTTACCAATGCTCTTATCGAAGTCTTATTTGTGTGCTTCAGTCGAGTCTTATTTGTTGATTCACCAATGCTCTTATTGAAGTCTTATTTGTGTGCTTTAGTCGAGTCTTATTTGTAGATTCACCAATGCTCTTATTGAAGTGTTATTTGTGTGCTTCAGTCGAGTCTTATTTGTAGATTCACCAATGCTCTTATTGAAGTCTTATTTGTGTGCTTCAGTCAAGTCTTATTTGTAGATTAATTCACCAATGCTCTTATTGAAGTCTTATTTGTGTGCATCAGTCGAGTCTTATTTGTAGATTCACCAATGCTCTTATTGAAGCCTTATTTGTGTGCTTCAGTCGAGTCTTATTTGTAGATTCACCCACGGTGGGCGTCAATTGTTTGTACCATCTAGCTCGAGGTATGAACAATGATATTTGTTGGTGTGGGGTTGACTCACGATCCGTTCGTCTGATCTCGTTGGGAGGGAAGAAACCTGTGAAAGAGTCGGGGATGCCCCCCGGATTAAGCTCCGACGACCAAGTTAGTTCATGTTTAAGGCGAAAGTTGAGAGAACAAGGTAGAGAGATAAAGTGTAGAGAGATAGTGGAAAGTGGAAAGTGAGGAGAGAGAAGAAGTCCCACTCAATGGAGAGTTTCATGCCTTTATATACTCGTAGCGGCGTTCGAGCGGAGCACGTTACCGATTGAGCGCGCCCTTACTTAGTCCGCGTGTGGAGTATTTAGTAACACCCCCAACAATAACCTTTGACATAAATACATTCAAAGACTTATTGCAACTATCTTATAGTCATTAGAAATAGCCATCTAACCAAAATATATGTTAATAGTATGAGATTAATGAATTGAGTATATTTGTGTGAGTTGCTTTAGTCTCTTAGCAATTACCATAGACCGGAAAATCACTTCTCTTTCAGGTTTTCAACTAGTATAATGTATAAGAAGTTAGGTGCTCATATGTTGTTGTCTATACTCTACAAGAACAAATTTTGTATTAAGTTTTTTTATGATCCCTCAAGGAAAGAACACTTGACTCTTAAGTGGTTATACAAAGCATTAAGGCTAATTGCAAAGCATATAATATATTAGATTTATTGCTAATTGCTTAATTGGTTAATTGATTGGTTGGTTAGAAGTGACTCCTAGTTTCCAAAAATGTTTTATATTTTTGTTGTGTTTTTCAAACTAGTTGTGATTATTCTTATTATAAGCATACTCGATCAACACTCTCATATATTCATGAAATTCTCACTCTAACCACTACCAAATTTAACAATCGATAACATCACATTGCATACCTGGAACAACTAATGATCCAAAAATCGAAAAATCAATTGTAATAATAATACATTAATCGATAAAAGAAGATGTCACATCTTATCGTAAAGTCCGGTCATCAAAACGATCCATTTTTCCCCCCAAACTCTTAGATTGAAAAGTAGCTTTGATCAACTATCCGTGACTACTGGCTAGCCAACTTGGCAAGATGTTTATAAGATCAATGGCCACGCATCTAGCTTTACACAATTTGGTAGAGCATACATAATTAGCCATTATGAAGCAAATTAGAGGTCAATAAAGGGTAACATTGTAGGTAGGTTTCCTTGTCTTATACTATGGGAAAAGCCATTTTTCATTTTTTCCCCCTTGACTTAGGATATAGGAAGTGATGTTCCTTAATCAAATGCTTACTTTTTTCCTCTCCTTGATTAGTTATTACTTAAACAATACATGCTTAGGAGTATGTATGTGTATATTTGCTCAGAAGAAACCTGTTTATGCCTCGCTGGTGTGATAGGAGAGAGACACTAAGTATAAAGGAGTTTGAGTAATGCAAGGTAAGCACGTGCCAAAGGAGCTATGTTATTAAGATGTGGGAGTGAATAGATTACAGAGAGAGATTGTAGAGAGAGAAAGTTAGAGAGAGAATGGTCTAGTCCCTTTGGTCGATCCCCTTCTCTCCGTAGTAAATGCGGTATTTATACCACTGTGGAAGTAGGTGAGTTGTGCGCATGATGGGACGTGTTGTCGGGCGGCGTCGTTGTCTCGACGGTTTACGCGCGTCCGAGTTTCTTTGGGAGCGAGCTTTGGACGCGCGACGACTTGGCCTCTTACCCCAACAATTGCCCCCCAGCAGGAGGTAGTCCTCGGACTTATTTCGGCTAGTAGCGACTTCGTTGGGCGTGCGAATGACCCAGCGCGCGTCAACCGTTACGGTTTGAAGCGCGGGTATGTGCGTACGCGTTATGATCTGTAGTGACGCGTTATAACGGTTTATGCCCCCCTAGAGGAGATAGGTCCTAGGGGTAGCTTCTACTGAGTTTGGGATATGAAGGGTCGTCTGACAATACGCCTCCACTTAACTGCCACGTGTCTCTTGCTTACTGGTCCGTGTGTGTGGTGGGTTTGAATTTCAAAAATTGTTGTGGCGGGATTGCTGTAGCCGAGGCGGTCGCAATCATATTCGAGATTGCGATTCGACACATCTCCCGTTTCTCGATGCCCCATCCGACGGCTGGTTTTTCCCTCTTCCGTTAGTATATAAGTGTGGTCATTTCGATAGCCTTGTTTATTCTTTCCTTTCTTCCAACGACCGTGTTGCTTCTCCTTCTTCTTCGACCTCTTTCCTCTCGGTTCCTTCTTTCTTGCATTGCGTACGATGGCTGAGGAGAGGAAGGCGTCCGAGGTTGTGGTCGACTTCGACGAAGAAGGTAACATGCTCAATTTATCTGACGCGTCTTTCGATTTGTCTGGTTTGGATGGTCAATTGTTCGGTGGTGAGTTGCCCCTTACTCCTCCATTCGACTCCGGCGGCGCTGCTGCTCTGTCGCATAGTGGGGGTGATCAGCCGCGAGAGCCCTCCGGGGAGGGTACTTCTCGGATGGTGGATGCCCGCCGTGGGGTTTTGGTGGTCCGCCGTGAGGCGGGTGATTCTCCGGGGCGGTCTAATTTGCTCGAGATTTCGGAGACCGAGTCGGATCGGCCTCGGGAATTGGAGCAAGCCGCGCCTCGAGTTCGTGTGTCCGAGGCAATTAGTCGCCTTGCGTGGCTGGGATTGGCGCGCAATACAATATCATTGAGTGGGAGGAGATGTTTGAGGCCGGGGCCGTGCCCAGCGACAATTTGGTGCGCGGGCCAGATCAAGTGTCGGAGCTTGGGAGGGGTGACGTGGAGAGGCTAGTGCGCGGGTTGGGTCTTCCACCCCATTGGCAGTATGCGGTACCCAGTGCGCGTAGTCGCATTGGGAACTGTCCGCAGGGGTGGATTAGCGTGTATACTGAATATTGGCGCATGGGGTTGAAGTTTCCTCTTGAACCATTGCTGTGTGTGCTGTTGCGCGTGATAAAGTGCTCTCTTGCACGCTTTTCTCCTTCGGTTATTTTGCACACTTGTATGTTTCGTTTGGCCTGTAAGCGGCGCAATGTCCCGTCTTCCTATGGTCTTTTTCGTAAGTGTTATAAAATGAGGGTGCCGGAGAAGGCTACTGGCATTTGTGTGAAAAGGCGTGATCGTCGAAATAGCGGTTATGTGTACGGTTCGCCGAAGCTGGATAAGCCGTGGTTCAATAGGTTTTTCTACATGAAGCCTGTCCCAGAGGAGTGGTCGAGCGAGTACGCGCCCATTATGTCTCCTTGGTCCGCTGGTGATATAAGGCGGATGGAGTCGGAGGTAGGCGCGTACGACGGTTTGAACGATCACTATGAGTCGCTCATGGACGTGAAGATCAATCTTTATGACAAAGAAGTCC